TCTGCTTATGAAACTACATTGTCTGAGGCTGGATGACAAACATAAGGTAATAATATTTATGTGTATAGTAAAATAAAGATTATGGGAACGGTTGGGGTGAAAGGTGACAAAAGAAGTTAACAATGCTGGAATAAAAGGATTAATGCTTACAGAAATTATACTGTAATCAGGTAAATTGTTTGGAATTTTAAATCTGCCTTTTCTTATAGAGCTGGGAATAGGAAAATCAAGAATACATTTTGTATTGTTTTCCAAAGAAAATGCCTTTTTATTGTTACAAAGGGAAGTTTTTATTTCTTTAAATACAGTATTTGAACCTTTTTGAATTAAATAAAATTATATTCCAAATGCTCTTGATAGGGAAAACTTTTATAAATAGCAAAAACCTATAAAGTGTTACAATGTAAAGTGACTTCTGCTGTCTCTAACATCAGTTTGTTTGTTTAGCTCAGAACTAATAGGCACCGAAGGCACTAATTGCTGAATGAGACATTTGGTCTGACCCTGAGATAACAGGGAACATAAAGGTCTTGAGTTCAGAAGAGACTGGAGCCACATGATGGTAAAAGTGTCTAAATGAAAGAACCCATTGCTAATATTTGCTCCCTGACCCTGAACACCCCCCTTTTCTATGGACTAGGATAGATAACTTAGGCAAATCTTAAAGGTAAACTCCCCAACTGCAAAGAACTGTTACATCTGGGTTGAAAAGATTAACTTCTCTGTGACCATGATTTGAACTGTGAGAATGAAATGTAACCACCCAAATGAAGTCAAGGCTGTAAAACCCTATAAAAGGAGGAGTTGTAACCCAGTGCGTCGTTGATCCAGGCACGGCTTATGTGCGATCGACCTTTGTCGATAAGTAAATTTATTATTTTACTTCCATTCTGCTGCCTTTCTGTGTGTCACTTACTAATTCCTTCTGTAACAATTTCGCAGTTCACATAAGTAATATTCCCTTTCTCATAAGGTCCTCTTCTTTATCCAAAACATCCTACAGCGCAAAGCAATAGCAATGTCAAATGAATCAAAGAGCCAGCTATGGCTGAAGAGGATTAAAATGGAAACACTGAAACAAGAATATGAGTAAAATAGTAAGAAACAACTCTAAATGTAAATAGTTGTGGACTGCCTATTCAGCTTTAGTGCTTTTTAACAAATGGATATGGGTTAATCCCGTAAGATGTTAAAAATAGGCAGTGAAATACTGGGCTGTTAAAATGTAGTTTTTATATTTTCTATAACTATTTTTAAATAGAATGTAAGAAATAAAAACCTTTAAAATTTAGTTCACTCAAATGGCAAGGATTTCTTTAATATATCCTTTCATAATTGTATATTATATGGGGTTCTCAACATAATTCATAGCTTATTCAAAATATCCTTTCTCTGAATGATTTCAATAAGAAGTTCTGAAGTGATAAGCCTTTCAAATTGTATTTTTTCACGGAAGTTTAACTTGGGATCTGAGATATTTCTTCCTTTGTTAACATCTACGAATAAACTGTAAGATGATAGGCACCCACATCTATAATCAAGGGGGTGAATACATTAAAAGGAGCATTAAATTGATCAGTGTGAAAGGAGAAATAAAATTTCAAAACATATAAAGAATAAAAATTTTCACTGACTCTAATTATTAATATACTATCCTACTTTTATTTTCTTTTACCTTTTAGATTCTCTACCTCATGAATGTAGTTTTATGTTTATCAGGTTATAAGTCTTCTTACTTACATCATTTTCACTGGATTCCCATCTTCTTTACATTCTATTCTCTTGTATTATTTTTAAAATGTTGTTTCTACTTATTTTTTATTTTCTTACTCACTTTATAAATATCTTGATTTTTCAACCCATATACCTTAAAGCAAGTGATCCTTCAACTGGATAGGAGTTTTATCCTTCAAGTTTCTAGAACATACTGGCTAATGCTTAGCGATCCAAAGCAAGTTAGCAACCTCTTTACAACTAGAGGGTTTGCAATGGTCATGAGTGCCACCGAGTGTTTCTAGAAGGCCTAAGGCAAAGGCAGAGGAGAAAAAAAAAAGGGATCAGGGAGAAAGGATCTGAAAAAAAGGAATCCAGAGGTAGAAAATGGAGGTACATGAAGTAGAAAGTGGTAGAGAGCCCCAAGAACAGACCCAAGGATCCAAAACAGTGTGTTTTAACATTGAAGAGACTAAAGAATGAATTTGCCTTCAAAGAAATGAAAATTCCCTTAATTAGTGGTACAAAGATGAGGTGGTATAAACTGAAAAATTCATTATGCCTCTAAAACTAAGATTCTTTTCTAATTGTGGCTTCAATTGTAATGTATAATAGCCATTCCTATTTGAGACCTAACCATACCAACAATGATTATGCTACAATGTTAAGTCTTTGTAATATGTTTTATCTCTTAGAGAACTAGCAATACTTTGTAGGAAAGAAATAATGTGAAGCGGCTGTATGCTAGATAATCTCTTAGATTTTATTTTTTATACTGTAACATTCCTTTGAGATTTCTTTTTAGTGAGTGTGAGAAATAACTAAAATTAACACCATTCTAAAAGGAAATTATCAATAAGACATGGAATAGTAATTTCACATAAAATTTTCTTTGATAGATTCGATAGTAGCAGACAGGCACTTTTATGGCTCATGCGAGTTAATTTTTTGGCAACCAAAAAAGATAAGGGTAAGTTTTTTCTTTTCTATTGACCTTCTGCCTCAAGTAAAAACCATAGAACAACATTCTCTGTAAAGTAACTGTATGGAATAATTTGTTTCCCCACTCTCTTCTACTTTATATTCCAAGAATGTAAAAAACAGTCTTTCTTGTTTCTAGTGTTTCATTTTTTGTAGTTGTTTTACTCTTAAAGTAAGAATTCTTTGTCATTTTACAGTAGCAATCTTATATGGCTACAAACCATAAGATCAACAATTTTCTCTTTATATGCAGATAGGAAATATGAAGAACCAATGAAGCTATCAAAAAAAATAATTTTCTCTCTGGAAAATATTCATTCTCATAAACACTATAGAATCAGTCTGGGAGAAAAAAATATAGAAGCCATAAAAGATTTCTTATTTATGTTTTGGCTTTGCCAGTTGCAGAGGTGTTCTAATCTAGTGAGATCAAGATAAATGAGACATATTCAAAATACATCTCTGTGAAAGAATACATTAGCGGATATTAAAGCACAAGATCAATCTCTCTACCACGTTACTTACAGAATATGAGAGTAACAATTCAGACTGATATTACTTTTTTTTTCAGAAATGGTCTAAGAAAACATGTTGATAATAATAGTTATCATTAAATATTAAAAATACCAGTTACACACTGAATGTTCTTTTTATGTGTGTACCAGGTACTAGCCTAAGACTTTCCATAGTTTTATTTAATCCTCACACCAGCTTGGGAGGGTTATAAATATCACCATTTTACAGATAAAAACTGAGGCTCAAAAATTTTAAGTGCTTTGCTCAAGTTACATAGATAGAGCTGCTACTAGAACCCAAATCACTCTGGTTTTTCTAAAACCTGTGCATAATCTTAACCATTTGCTACACTGCCCTCAACATTAAAGAAGATACTGCTAAGAGGTAGTGATGGAATATAAAGGAGATTAATGAATATATTTAATTACAAGAAAAGTATTTATTTTAATGGCTAGATGTGGTTAAAAGAAGAAAAAAACAACTAAGAGATTCTATAACTGATATTAAAAAAAGGAACTGGTTAACCTGATTTAGATATTATATAATGTACACATGTATCAGAACATTACATGGTACCCCATTAATATTCACAATTTTTGTTTGTTAAAAGTCAATTAAAAAGTTGTCCTCTTAAGTAACCCTGATAAAGTAAGAAATTTAGTATATATGCTGCCAAAGTGAGCACTAAAGAAATTTTAAAAAAGACATTCCTTTAATATAAGCTTTGAGTTATTAACTAATAACATAATAACAGTACTGTATTCTGAAAATTGTGAGTGGATATTAAATGCTCTCATAACAAAAAAATAAGTTTGTGAGGTAATGCATATGTTAAGTAGTTCAACTGAACTACTCCACAATGTATATGTATTTCAAAGTATGTTGCATACAGAAAACCAAAATAAAGCAAATCAATCCAATAACAGTTTCTGAAAATGTAGTTGCATTTTCATCTTGGGTTCTTAGATTGGACTTTATGCAGGAAAATGCTAGTGTTTCTTTCAACCTTTATGCTATCTCAGGCAACTCTGAGGGGATCAACTGCTAATACCACCTGTGGCTCCAAAGTTTTGGAAGTAGCTATTTTCCAAAAGAATGAAAGGTTTCCCACTTGCTTTTCATGAAACTCTTTGCTGATAAACATTTGAGTTTAACTCAAGAGAAGAGACTGCTTCACTTAATCCCTGTGTTTGGCACCTGTTTATTTTTCTGGGAGTATGTAGAGGTTTTTCACTAGAAAATGTCTGGAATACTTGCAGACCAAGACTGTGTGCTGTCTGGCAAGTGTAGATGATATGATAAATTGTAACTGGGTGTAGTAGTGCATGAGTATAATTCCAGTACTTGGGAGATGGAGGCAGGAGGATGGCCATGAGTTTGAGGCTAGCCTAGGCTACATAGTGAGACACTGTCTCAAAAAAACCAACCAACCAAACAACAGCATCAGCAGCAATAACAACAATACCCTAAAAGCCACTAAAAGGGAATAAATTATAGTAACAGTATTTGTCTTTGATCCCTGTATGTTTATATTTACTGAAAAGTTTTAATCAAAGCATGTCAGAAAATATACAGGTATGTATAGTTAGTGCAATTATCTGTGAATGAAGTTATTCTGACAATCACAGGGGAAATAGATGTAACAATAACTGGGTGCCTGGGTTGAGCCAAAAATCTGTAAATAAATAAATAAATAAATAAATAAGATAGGTAGATATAGATAGATAGATATACAGACAGACAGACAGACAAATAGATGGGTGTGATACTTCAGAAAGCCAAACATTTACCTCGAACAGCATAGCCATCTTTCACTGATGCTGGGAAGGGGGGTAGGTTGTCTTTTGCATAAACATCTTGAGCAAGGACTCGCCCCATTCCATCTGAAAGCCAAGAAAAAAATGAGAATATTGAGAGCAAAAAAGTAAGTTAGCAGTTATAAACTAGATGGGCACAAGTACCGGTCTGATACAGGTTGCAAATGGGCTCAGTCTGAGGTCCTGATGATTTCTACTCAAGAAATAGAAGACAGAGAGAAAAGGTGCATTCTGGTGCCTAAACTAAAATTTAAAAATTTGGGTAATTCATAGCAACAACTGCAAGCAATTATCTTAATATGAATGACTACACAGTCAACAAAGATGTATTTAGCTGATGTCATTAATATTTTAATTATAATTTTCTTTAAAAGGAAAGCCAAATCATAAACATTTTCATATCCATTGACCCAGTCATTTTCCCTTTAGAAATCTGTTTTAAGAAAATAGATTACTCTTTATGTACATTTCCTTCTGAGTTGCTTGTATTAGTTAAAGTGGATCAAAAGATCTGTAAGTATTTAAATAAACAATGGTCTATCCTTGTCATAAAATAGTATGCAAGGTGAAGCAATACTATGAAAGATATTCATGGTCAAAAGAAAACTCTTAAAATATATTTTAAAAATCATGCAAAGTTGTACAGGCAGTGTAAAATCTCAGCTATACTAAGTATATTGTGTATGTCAATAGAAAAGACAAAAAGACATACAAGAAAATATAAAGCATTTCCTATTTTAGAATGTTAGAATGATTTATAATTTTTATTCCTTTTGTTAAATTTTCTGAAAACTTCCAAGTTTCTACAACGAATGTGTGTAATTTTTATTATCAAAAAACCCTTTTTCTTTCTTAAAAAAAGAAAAGCAAAGAAAAGGAATAAGCATCCCAGTCATTTCACTTGAAGGTTACCCTTTGATTTTGTCATTAACCTAAATAATTTAATGACAATAAGAAGAGCAGCAGAGATCAATGGTGTGAAATAAGTAATCAAATGAAGTCACGACCAGTTCTTTCCATCCTCTAGTCAGAACATATCTTTATTATTAATTTAAAAGAAATAAAAGAAAAATAAATTGGAGGAAGAAAAAGGAAAGAAAAAATTGGGCAAATAATATAGGATTGATTTACATGTAAATTTATGAAATTTATAAAATTGTGTAATTTATAAAATTTTAGTGTTTCCACAGCTGATTAAGTGAATCTGTATTTTTGTGTGTGGACCTTTTTAACAACCTATAAGTATTAAATAAACAATACTTACAAATTTTGTGCTTTCTAGATCCTAGGACATACAAGTAAATACAGGGATTTAAAATTCTTTTACTCTGATCCAAGTGATAATGGTATCAACTCTCTCCCATAGAGAAGTGACACCTAAAGTACCTTTTAGAGTTACTTCTAGGAGTCTCTGGATGGTACTTGGTAAGGTACAGAAAGTGGTGAGATCAGAAGGTCTGATTTGTATTCACACACAGAATAGTAACTCCTAAATGACCTGAAGCTAGGTAGTGCCGGGTAATGATCACCATGGCATTTGCCAGGATCACAACCTCCTGAGGTGGTTCTTCAATTGGAACCAACCCAGCATGCAGTTGGAGATAAAAATATAAACCACACTAGCTCAGATTCTAGGAAAAAGATGGTGCTGAGATTTTGAAGAGTTCAATAATAGTGGCTAATAATTAAAGACAGCACAAGAACTGATTTTTTTTTGTTTTTTTTTTGGTGGGGGCAGGGAGCTTGGTTAATCTAGGAAATGTTTATTGACATTATATTAATTACCTTATAATTAATATAGATATACAGTATCATTTAATCCCACAAAAGTCTAGTGATGTGCTATTATGTTCATTTTCAGATTAAGAAAGTAAGGTTTAAGGAAGATAAGTCATTTACTCAAGGTCTCACGTAGCTAAGGCAGGACTGAAAATCTGCTACAAATCTGAACATCCAAACCATGCTACTGTAATCATTACGATTCATATTCCTATGCCTATTGATCTTCCTGTTACCTTCACATTTTAAAAAACTACAGACCAGTTCATCAAAAATTTAAATATATAATTACTATATGAACTAGTAATTCCGTCTGGGAACATGTCCAAAAGAACTAAAAGCAAGGTTGAACAAATAGTTGTACAACCATGTTCACAGCAGCATTTTTCACATTCATCAATGGTAGCAGCAACTTGTGTTCATTTTTAGATGAATGATTAAGCAAAAGGTGGCATATACATGTACAAATATAACCCTAAAAAAGAAGTAGGGCCAGGGGTTTAGCTCAGTGGTGCTGCCCCCCGCCTCGCAAGCGCAAGGTCCTGGGCTTGATCCCTGGTACCAAAAAACAAAAACAAAAACAAATAAAGAAGTAAAACATGCTAAGCTTTTTCTTGTCTCTGCTTTTGAGGAGAAGGTTGCCTCTGGCAGGAATGCCTTTTTCCTTTCCCCTTTCTCTTTCTGGTAAGTCTCATGCATCCTCCAAGGCTTCACACAGATGTTATCTCTTTGTTTTGTTTTTTTCTTTTACTAAAGTAAACTAATTCGTTGGCTGATTTACTCAATCATTTATTAAACACTGGGAATCTACTATTTGCTAGATAACAAGGACAAAAATACCAATAAGGCCCTGCTGATGTCCTTAGGGAATTCATGTGACTAATGCTATTAGAAAAAGAAGAAATACAGAGATGATTGTAAGATAGGATGATATGGGCAGTCCTAGGCATACGTACAGGGTGTGAGAAACAATACAAAAAATTACCTAGCCAAGACATTATGGAACATGTAGAAAATCTTCCTAGCTATGATAACAACTGACCTGGGTTTTCCAGAGAAAGTCAGCCCCAGGTAGGAGTGTGGAACATTTTAGATAAATAAAACAGGATCAAAAGATTTTAAACATAATTTTATAGAAATGGAAATCTGAGGGCTGGGGATTTAGCTTAGTAGTTCTACCACCTGCCTCGCAAGTGTAAGGACCTGAGTTCGATCCCCAGTACACCCCCCAAAAGGGGGGGATCAGATAAGGGAATTTTAAACAGGCTAATCACTTCAAAGTAACTTATCAACAGAGTTTGCATCTCCTGAAACATAATAAGATGTATCTTTTGGGAACTTTTGTGGTGACAAGATAGAGAATGGTTAGGAAGGACTGGGTTTACTCTCAATTCTGATTAACATTTATTTCCACCCTATTTTATACTTTTCACATTGTGTTATGGTTGTTTGTGGAACTACTTTTATTTCTCTATCCGACTGTGATTTCTTGTTGTCACAGCATGAATCACATGAATCACATATGCCAGTGTAACCAGTGTTTGGTGCATAAAAAGTATTCAGTTAATATTTGTCAAATGAGGGAGTAAATGAATAAGAATATTAATAAGGCAGAAATATCAAGTAGGTAGAGAAAAATGTCCTATCAGTAAAATATAAGCAACTTTTATTTCTCTATCCGACTGTGATTTCTTGTTGTCACAGCATGAATCACATGAATCACATATGCCAGTGTAACCAGTGTTTGGTGCATAAAAAGTATTCAGTTAATATTTGTCAAATGAGGGAGTAAATGAATAAGAATATTAATAAGGCAGAAATATCAAGTAGGTAGAGAAAAATGTCCTATCAGTAAAACATAAGCAACTTCAACCAAAGAGTATACAAAACAAGGATACCTTTACAACTAAACACTACTCTCATTACTTTCCATCTGTACTCCTCTAGTCATCATTTTTTTCTTTCATTTTTGGTACGATGCTTTCTTTTATTATGTGTCTGATTTTTTATTGAGTTTATTGGTACTTTTTAGGTATATTGTACAGTTACATTCATCAGTGGGATCATGTACCTTTACATGATATGTCTTGGTTCTTACTTTTTTCCCATACCCCTTCCCTCTCTTCACCCCCTGTACCTTTTCCTATGTACAAAGACTTTGTTTACATTTTTTCCTTTTCTCATATTTTTTCTTTTCCCTTATTTCCTTTCCCCTATTCCTTTAGCCCCTTTCTTCCTATTTCACATTATCAATTATACAATTTGAACCTTATTTACACTTTTCATTTTTCATATCAGAGAAACTGATTGGTATTTACATGTGTGTCCTATTTATTTCACTTAAGAGTATGGCCTCAATATGCCATTTTCTTACAAAATATCCATTTTCTTATAAATGACTCTAGCTTCTCATTCTTTATGGCTGAGTAGTACTCCATTTTATAGAAAAACCACATCTTCTACATCCAGTCTCCAGTTGATGGGCAATTGGGCTGTTTCTAAGTTTTACCTATTACAAACTGTGCTGCTATAAACATGGGGGTTCATGTATCACTGTGGTATGATTCTTTTAATTCTTTTGGAAAAATACCCAGTAGAGGGATAGCTGGGCCAAATGGAACCTCAAATCCTAGTTGTTTTAGGTATCTCCATATTGATTTCTATAGTGGTTGCACCAGTTTGCACTCCCACCAACAATGGAGAAGGGTTCCTTTCTCCCCACACCCCTGTCAGTATTTGTTATTCGTTGATCTCTTGATAGCAGCCATTCTTTCTGGAGTGAGGTAGAATCTCAGTGTTGTTTTCATCTACATCTCTCAAATGACCAGTAATGTTGAACCTTTTTTCATGCGTTTGTTGCTTTTACTTTTTTGTCTGAGAAATGTCTGTTCATTTCAGATGCCCATTTTTGAATTGGTTCTTTATATTGTGGGGGGGTCTGATTTTCTAAAAGTTCTTTAGATATTCTAGATAGTAGTCCTTTGAGGAAAAGCTCGTAAATTTTTTTCTCCACATTGTATGTTTTCTTGTAGCTCTGTTGGTGGTTTCTCTTGCAGTGCAGAAGCTTTTTAGTCTGCTTCTTTTCTTTTCTTTTTCTTTCTTTCTTTTTTTTTGGTACCAGGGATCAAACTTTGGCCCTTGTGCTTGAGAGTCAGGTGGCGGAACCACTGAGCCAAATCCCCAGTCCTGTGCAGAAGCTTTTTAAAAAGATGAGATTCCAGTTGTTTTTTCTTTGTGCTAGTTCTTTGCTACTGGGGATTTGTTCATAAAGTCTTTTCCTATGCCTA